CTGCAGTGCTATTTTTATTGCATGCATCAACCATGCTGTGCCGTGGCAGAGTTCTGTGTGGGACAGGCAGCCTCCTCAATGGGGGCCTCTTGGTCCCATGCCCTGCAAGAGCCCCTCAGGGTTCTGCTGAGTGTCACCCCCTGCCCACACTGTGGGATGACTCCATGATCACCCCAGTGCACACTCTGCAGGCTGAGACACGGCCATGGAAGGGCCGAGGCATGTCATCCTGGCCTTCCCAGCCTCATGCCACCTTCTTCCTGCTTTCCCTTTGCAATGGACGGATGGAAGTGTGGAGGTTTGCTTGGCTCCTACGTGGCTCATCCAAGGGGAAAACCCAGCGAGCTGTGCTGACCTACAGGCCAAGGATAAAGGTGAGGTGGAGAGCCCCTGTCCTGTTAGGTCCACCAAGCCTTCGAGAGCAGCAGTTCCCAGGGCTGCGTTTGCACAGGGCTTGGCAGGTGGGAGGTGGGCTGGAGGCTGCGTGCACTGCAGTACCCGGTGGGATGTGCTTTAGGGACTTCAGTTAGGAAGCAGAACACCTCTGCTCCTGACACATAGGATAGAAAGATGGGGCAGTGTGGATCAGCGTTGATCCTGATGGGGATGCAGAGGCTGTGGTGTGGGACAGGGAGCAGACTTCTCTGGGGATGAGGGAAGGAGAGGGTATGCCATTCCTCTCTCTCCCCTTCCTGCTGCTTATAGAGAAGTAGTCCAGTATTGCCGAATAAGAGCCGAAAATGCCTTTTGGCACATTTTTCTATACTGTCCTTGCTGTTTTGAGGAAGTCAGCATTAAATGTGGAGAATGCAGGAGAAGAAGGCTCTGGGGTTGGTTGTGTGGGACCTGGTTTGATGTCCTGCTCTTACTGCCTCCTTGGCTGTGCTGTATGCTGTGGTGGGAAGCTGTGCTCATGGTCAGGAAAGGGCTTGGACATCTTGGGTGGGTTCCCACTGCCCTAGCCCTCACAACAGCTTCCCACCTGCACCTTGGCTGTCTTGATGCGCAGGAGGTGGTGCTGATGTTAGCATCTCAGCCCAGGCAGAGCCAATCTCGCCCTGTCCTACAGCTTGCGAAGGGAAGGAGGGACGAGGAAAAGCACCTTTAGCCATGTCCCAGTACAGCGCAGCCTGTGTGCTCCCGGGACTCTCAACTGCAGTGGCAGCAGAGATGTAAGAAAGCGCCCAGGGTCCTTCCCCAGAGGCATTCAATAGGATCTGAACAGAAAGCTTTGCAAAACCATCTCTGCCTTGGGTGGAGGCAAAGCATCAGGTGTGTGTTTGGGGAGGGGGCCAGTTGTTACCTGAGAAATCCCCTTCTCCCTCCTCTGTTGCCAAAAGGGATTTCCTTTTGTAACTGGAAAGCAAACTGGTGCTCTGCGAGGCTGTGGTTGCTGTGAGTGCCACATTTCCTCCCTCCCTGTGCTTTGCTTAAAAAACTGCACCCCATGTCAGCTGCCTTCAGGACCAGCCCTGCGCCTTGCAGCACAGGACATGTGGCGGCATACCCTGCCCAGTCAAGGGTGGGGACAGAGGGTCCTGTGGAGTGGCCATCAAGACCAAGGTGCAAACTGAGCATGAGGACAGAGGTATTGCCATGCCCACGGGTCATCAGCCAGCCTCCTGCTCAGCCAATAAGCTCGTGGCAAAGGTCTTTGGATGAAGGATTCTAGGTAGGCACTATCCATCACACCTGCGGAGATGGTCACCAAGCTTTTTCTTAGTCGCCTCATTTGTGTTGTAACCCCAGAAGAAGCTGGGTGCCTTAGTGGGTCTGACCTGAAGTGATGTGGTGGCAGGTCACCTCTAGCCTGCTGCCGAGAGTGCCTGCAGCTGGAGGAGCTGGAAGGGCAGAAGTGCTCCACACATTGCTGCAAGCTTTCCCAGCCTTCCCACATACCTGAAGAACCTCTGTTTCCATGAGGAGCCCCTTCTTGTGCTCACCAGCTGGGCAGGAGGTTGCAGACCCTAGGGATGGTCCTGAATGCAGCTGTGCTGCCTGGCTGGGCTGATGAAAAGGCAGTGTAAGCCTTGGGCATATGCCACAGCTTTTCCGTTACTGAGTGTTCTGGCTGGGTTATTGGAGAGGCTAGCAATGTTTATCTCCAGTCCATCTTCTAGGCTTCAGAAAAAAAAAAAATACATCTCTCGGACCTGTCTCTGTGAAATGTGGCTTAAATTACCTATAGGCTTGCAGAGTTTGTCTTGAACATGTAATGGTTTGTATAAATAATGATTGTGATAGGGTCATGGGCAGTGTAAGCATATGAGCCTTGTTTCTTCTAGAAAGGCAACCGGAAAATGGGGCTATAAAACATGCAGGAATGAGGTAAACAGCTTGGTCTCTGCAGAGGAAAATCATACTCCCCTGATCTGTTGCAAGTCTTCCAGTACTTTGGGAAAATAATAGGTAATATTCGGCCAGCTTGTGTAACTTGCTTGGGTGTTCAGAAAACCTTCGAAATTCCTCACAAAAGACTGTTAAGAAAACTGCCTGCTAGAGGAGGTGTGGAGTCCTGGATCAAAAACTGGCTAAGGGTCCACAAACAAAGCCTAGGAGTGAACGAGTAATTTCAGTGTGACAAGAGCAGAGGTTATGAGGTCCTTCACTATTAATGACCCAGGAAAGACAATG